CCCAAGTGCCGGTGCCCACTTCCAATTTTAAACCGCACTTAGACACTGATGGCTGAGGGTGTAAGTGGGGTGGTGCGGTGGCATCAGCTGGCTATGCCGGATGATGCCCGCACTGCCCACTCACCACAGCCATGTAATACACCTCATGATCACACAACACTATATTGGAGCAGGTGGAGGGAGACTAGGGGTCTTAGCCACCTCTGTTGTTGCTAGGCTTCCTGGGGCTGGAGGCTAGGAGGGAGATCTGGCCGTCTGGTTGGGGTCTGGGGTGGTGGGTTGCTGTGCTCAGCGTTGGGCGGGGGAGCCTGCTCATCAGCACCCCAGCAGAAAGGGTCAAACTCTGGTTACCGGTGATGGTTGTACCCCATGTGCAGCAGTACCGGGACCAGAGTTAATAGGGTGTGTATGGGGAGCATGAGTGAGTGTCCGGCGTGCATTTTTGTAAGTCTTGGGTTGTATGTGCATGTGTGAGCATGAGGGAGGGAGTGTGTGACTGTGTTTGTGTATGACTGTATATGTCAGGTGGGGCCTTTGGGTCCTCCCCTCTCCTGGAACTTCGCTTGATGATATAGATCTTCGTCCCCCCTCCCCCTGCCACACCTGGTGTGGGGGCTTGTGCCATGGTCTGCCTGAGTGTTCGTTGCAACCGGGTCTGGGGGTTTAAGATTTTGGCATCTGCCTGATAGATCCCGGTGCTGCCTGGTGGGGTCTGGATCCCTGGGCTCTGCTGGGTCCCCGGCGGGGGTGGTCACCCCTGGGTCCCGGGTCGCTGGGTCCCGGGCTCGGCCGGCTAGGGGGTGGGAGGCTGCGGGCGGGCCTGTGGGCTTGCCGCTGATATCTCCAGGGACTCTGCCGGCTGCTGGTTGTGGCCCCCCGGGGCGATCCTCTGTGCCACTCGAGGGGGGCGGGGGCCTTTCTGGTTGCAGTCTCCTTGGGGTTCCTGCATTCTGGGGCAACGCCTGGATCTCTGGGACTTGGAGCTCCCCCCGTCTCCTGCGCATCTTTGGGGGGCGGATCTGTGGTCCCTCACACTCTCTGTTGGACACTCCTATAGAGAAACCTTAAATAAACAAGCGCGTGTACGCACACAGGTGCTCACATGGTGCTCTCAAAAGTATGGGCTTGGGCACGTTCAACACATGTCTTAAGACTATGGGGGGCACTTAATGCATTGTGATTTATTATCGTGATTCTTCAGTTAAGCAATGTTGATTATATGTATGTATATATATATATATATATATATATAGTTTTTTTTGTTTTTTTTTTCATCAAGTTGACGCAGTGATAGGTAGATCTTGTTGTATTGTTGTTGTGTCCCTTTTTTGTGTCCTTTTGTTTTTTTTTTTGTCTTTTTCTGCAGGTCTAGAAGCAGACTCTTGTTCATTGTTTATTTTTGTGGAACCCCCCCCCCCCCCCTCCTCTCTCTCCACCTTTTCTCTTCCTTTCTCTTTCACCTCTGTCTCCGTGTCTGGTCGGAATTACAAAGCATTCAACAACAATAACAATAAAGTTTTAAGTATCAGGCATGACATTAAAAGCAAACGCTTTGATGCTCCACCTGAGAATAAATCTGTAAGGCTTGTCACCATCATTCAGACATCAATTCTGCTTGCTTCACAGCCAGACAGGACACGGTAAAAAAAAAGAAAAAAAAAAAGAAAAAAGTTGATTTGGGGGTGACTTGCTCTTTAAACGTGGAGAAAACCATGAATCTGATGTGATGATGTCATGTGTGACTTCTGATGTGTTGTCCTTTTAATTACGAATTTTCACCAGTAAACATAGGCAAAAATCCTGTGGGGGGGGGGGGGGGGGGGGGGGGCAGTGGGGACATGTCCCCTTCTGAGATAAATGCCCCCCCCCCCCCCCCCCCCCAAAACTCCCAAATGTTTTTTGTTTTAATAATATGTTCATTTTTGTTGAACGCACAATACAAGTTGTGCTACTTAAAAACACAAAGAGTTATAAGAAGTGAAATATTTACACACACACACACACACACACACACACACACACACACACACACACACACACACACACACACACACACACACACCGCCTAATCCTCAGTGGTTCCGTCTAATCTGTTTTCTCCAATGAGAGGGGCTGCTGCTGCTCGCACCCAGAGCGCGCTGTGAGGTGCAGAGAAGAGCAGAGCGACATGTAAATAGTTGCCAGGTGAATTTTTTTACGCATTCAGTCGTGCTTTTAATGGGAAAAAAAAAGGTTATTGGTCACTACACTTGTTTAACAAGCACAACACAGGACACATAAAGCTACAGCTCAGCTCCTTTGTGTGAAGTCTGGCACGCTTAACATATTGTTAGCTTAAGCAGCATGGTGTATTTATATTAACGCTGGGTTAAAGAGAAAGGAGAGAGAACAAAAAGGGAAAGACAGATATGTATATAAAGAACAGACAGCAAGAGAGAGGATAGACAGCTGACATACTGCCATCATCCTCTCATTAATGTCACAAATATTAGACTAACTTGTTTCACTTTGATTTTACATTTCTGTAGTCAGATATTGTCCAGATTTTTACATTCATGTTGGATATTATTACTTACAATCTAATTTTCTATTTCAGATTTTGTCTTTTTTTTTAAACCTTTGACTTTACCTTTGACTTAGATATTCCATTCAACAGATATTCCTTTTGTAACGTTCCGACTGGTAGTTTCCACTCCATATTTTCCTCTAATTATATCAATTTTTAAGTCAAACATCTTTTTAGTAAGTTCACAGTGTTCTGGACTTGTTACGTACACATTCATGCAAAAATAGTGTTCTTTTACAGCAGGAAAAGCTAAATGTAGGCCAAATAAACATTATCAGCTGGGTACTGAACCTCCTCTAAATCTAAAACCTGTGTTCTTGTTATTGTCCAATGGTCTGGCAGCTTCTAGTCAGGTCAAAATGGCAGAGAAACGACAAATTAAAGACATCAGGTAATTTTTCAGTTCACCAAAATGCCAAGTAAGTTGAACGATTTGAATAATATTAAGGCAATTTGTTATTAATATCCATATAAACAAATGGTATGTTTTGGATATGTTTAATAATGGTATCATTAGCACTAGCCAGTGCCTTCGGAAGAACGGGCTCTTTACAATTCCAGGATATTGACTTAGAAGAATACCCCAATCCTGACGCCACAATTTACCCAGAATGTCGAAAAACAAACGTGATTCACAATCCTTTAAACACTAGATGGTACCCATTCTTTTTCACTTGTGATAACTAAGATGGTTCCCATTCCAACTCTTCTCCTTTCTTTCTTCCCTCTGTAGCGTTACACCTCCCATAGTGGAGGGAGTGAAGGGGGGACAGAGTGTACAGCCTGATCCGGCGGGAGAGAGTTCTAGTCCGAACAGACACCTCTCTCTGACTCTGTCTCTCCTATTCTGACTTTGTTTCTCTTTCTCTGACACAGTTCTCCTTCCATTGCGCTGCAATCCCTTTATTTATTTAATGGTATTACTATATCACAGACCAGTGAACGAGAGTCCACCTGACTAAAAAGGTATTGAGGGATACACATCTGAGAACTAACATAGGGTTATTACGATGTTATTACAGTGTTATTCATGCCACTAATTTGGCACTCCACTGGATCAAACTATATGGAGCCAGTCAAGCAGAGACACACAGCCTGAAGTGAGTTTGAGATTTTGGTTCGTGTCATGAAATAAGGAGAATTCTGTCTTTAGACTACTTAAACTAATGATGTGTGTTTTGTGTAGTTGCGGGTTTGAGCTTGGAAAACAACTTGTCTATTTTAGGAGGCAGACTGTTCAGAATCAGGGTCACTGGTGGAAGGACCAAGCAGAGCATCATATGACTGCACAGGGGACAGGGACACAGCAGGTCATGATGAGCAGCCTTCTACCAGCAGCAGCACTCAGACACCCAACTGACATCTTCCTTTCCTAGTATTACTACTCCTAGTATTATTGGTAGAGCATCCAAAAACCTGTAGACAGTTCTGGACTATATATGGACTAATAAAGAACAACAGCTATTATTTAATACTATATGAGACATTTAAGACACATCAGCACATGGGAAAAAAAGCTTTTTTTAATGCCCCCGTCAGGAATTACTCCTGAAATGTTTACTGTCTAATGCCCCCCCTCCCCCAACAATGATGAGGGATTTTCACCCCTGCCAGTAAACAAATCTCAATCTTTATGTCACACTATAATGCAAAAATAATCAGAGCAGCATTAAATACAAGTGCTTGTTTGTGCACAGCTGTTTGTTACTTAGATTAATTAAGAAAACAAACTTTTTTTTCAATGCAAATTTTTGAATTAGATTGCATTGATCTAAAAATACATCAAAACTTGTATTTTTATTCTCTTGCTTGACAAGTTACTTTTCAGAGCTGAGCAGTCATATTTTTGAATGTACTGTATTTTGTAAATTAATAGTTTCACTTCAGTCATGTTTTCTAGAAAAATATATCTCCCACTAGATGTTTTGAACTGTACCCAGACACAAACTGGGCCTGGATTATTCTTACCATTACATAATGTTACAGAAGCGTTTGTGTGGACTAGGGTTTCATGCTAACTGGACTTTTAATTCAGGTATGCTCCGTATTTATGAAAGCGTGGTCCGCAACAGCTGGAAAATTACAACATAAAATGCCCTTCCGGTTTTGCAAGTTACAAAACCTACAAAAGTGTCACGACCCTGACTTATGCAACTTGGGTGCGCATGCGCAGACGGTCGAATTTCGTAAGCCGGGCCATGCAGGAGGCTGACAGTCACAACACATGGTTTTCAAAATATTGGTCAGAAGAACTCGCTGAACTTCTCCCTCTAGGCCCACGGACACCAGAGATTTTACTGAACCAAACATTCTCCTGTTCTAGTAGTTACAACTCAGCTTTACCTCCTAAATGTTCCTGTTGCTAGCTGACGGTGCGCCGCAGACACACCTTTTTCTGTTCAACACCGGTGTGATGAGAGATGATGATACTCACCTGAGTGCAGAACTTCGCTAGCTAGCGACACAGCTTCTCTGTAGCGTTTTCTTTTACACAGAGAATCCACTTCGCGTAATTTTTTCCACTCTTTCAGCTCGCCGGGAAACCATTTCTCTAAAAGTCCACATAGGGTTACGTTCACTTTCTCCTTGCCGGCGACGGCTTCGCCGCACAGCTTACATTTGAGGACGAGCCGTCTACGTAAACACCTTCTACAGTACGAGTGTCCACAGGCTAGGGTGACCGGCTCGTCCAGGAAGCAGAGACAGCTGGGACAGTCCAACAACGCGTCCACACCTCCCGACTCGGAGTCTCGACTCCGGCCCGTGGAGGCATCTGACCCGGCCGCTTTCCTCTTGAAGTTGCGGAGGATACAATCCACAAAAGTGCTTAGCTGCTCCGGACGCACAGGGCCGTAGCGCATCGCCGCGGAGAACCAGTCAATAGCCTCCTTTAGGCAGTCCTCGGATGCTAAAGCGTTGCCTTTCTGAAGTATAAGTTCACGGTGGCCGTCCTCCGCTTCAGAGACATTATTGTCCCCGTCAGCGCCGATAAAGAAGGCGCTCCTCTCCTCCGGTGTGTCCGCCACATACTGTTTTAGCGACATTATGACATTGAAATGTTTATGAGACGCTATTTACGTCCAGCTTTTCTTCTATCGATATGTTTATACATCTCTGTAGTGCCCCGGTCCTCTAGTCTGACGGGTTTTGTCAAAGATACTCGATTGTTATGTAAAAAAAAAAAGAACACCTGGTCACGTGATCACAAACGCGTCTCGTGATTGGTCAGGACGTTTCGGTTACAAAACCTGCGCTGCAAAGTTTCATAACTGCGGAAGATGCGCATTAAAGTCCACAAACAGCGCTTGATTTAGGCGCCCTCACAGATCCTAATTCATTATCAATAAAATAAAAAGAAAATCTGCTTTCTGCTACATATCTGTTAAGCTGGATGCAAAGCATGTCAGAAACAAGTCTGAAAAATAAATAACAGTCATACAAGATTTCATAACTTGATTTTGGAACACCTTTTGTGCTTTATTTTTCTATGAATTATGTAACATTTGGGTTATGTAATTTTTTTAATCTTGTGCAACTTTTCACCACTTTCTAGTTCTGTTGGAGCATCTCTTGTTTTGCCATCTATTTATTAACACACTCACACGCCACAGTTAAACCACTGCAAAGAAGTTGAATAAATTGAGTGCATGTTTCATAATGTTCAGGTTCTTTAACATTACACAGGACAAAAAATAGCAACTAGTAATAATACATATTAAATAATATAACTGTACTTCATCTCCGCCTAATGCTGATAGTATTAAGAAATATAATCAAATTTAAAATATTATCTTTTTTCATTTAAGCTTCTTTCAATATTCTGTCAAATAATTTATTATAGGTGCGGTAAAAACAGATCTCTTACCAGATATAGAAACTCCCATAAAATCAGAGTGATCTACAATCTACAATGAATGCTCCTCAGACAGCAGATGGGTTATATGTGGTCCGTAAATGGGAAATGCATTATGATTTGCAAAAGAAAACCAGATTCAAGATGAAGACACATTCTCCATTATAAAATGAGCCACAGATATTTTTTATGATGCTTAAGCAATAGCTCGCTTAAGGAGAATAACCTTAAAAGGGAAATAGAAAAAACTGTCATTTAATATATTCAAAAAATGTACCAAATTGAGTGTACTAAATAATTATGAAAATATAAATTAAATCAATGATCATGATCGCTCTGGAATTAAGAGCAGGAAAAAGTTTAAAATGAATCTGTATGTGTATCTGACAAATGGAAGTTGTATATTGTATTGTATGTAAATAGATTCTGGAAAAGGGGGCATAAATTATGAGATGTTTGTCTTCATTCATGCTCCTTTTCATTCAAATTTGATTTTTTGTTGTTGTGTATATCTTATTGTTTATACGTTTTATTTGTTTTTATTTTCAATTAAATAAATAAATTAAAAATAAATAAATAAATACAAATATCTGATCTTTGAACTTAAACCTGCTGGAAAACCAGCACGACTAAGGCTGAAATAACTCAATTCAGTAAAAAAAAAACTGTCGGACAAAATTCCTCCATGCCTCATTGCTTGGTTGCTGTTATTCTTTGTTTATTTATTTTCCTTTATAACTCAAATATTTTATCTATACTTTGAATGATTGATGGCTTTAGGCGATACTTTAATTTATCACCTGTATTAAATGAGAGCTCTTTCAGCCAATGCGATGAAAGCAAAGCTGATGTGGTATTAAAAAAATATACATCATCTAATACATCAGATTTATAAAATAATTTGATGTGAAAGAGGAGGACATGAGGCAAAAGCTGCAGGGTTAGCCACAAAAGATTCATCTGTGCTCTCGTTCCTCGTGTCTAATCATAAACAGCTCTCATCTTTTCTGATTTAGAGCATTCAACTACAAATCAGGTCATGGTCCACATGCTGCAGCGCCTTCCAGCTGCGACGAGTCCTACATGTTCCCAGGTGTCTTTGACTGTGTGGGGATGTGCAGTAAACAGTGTGTGAGTATGTGTGTGTAAATGGATACATCTGGATTGCAAAGTGAAGAGCAAAAGTAAACACATTTGTCAGTCTGCTGTCAGGGTTTTGGTTGCATTCGTATTTTATTTTTAATCTAAAGGCAACAACAGGTTGAGGTTGTGACCTTCAGTTGGAGAGTGCAGAGTGGTTGTTGTAGCTGGTCAAGTATGTAACAGGCTTTGTTTTAGCCCAGTGAAAGTTTTAAATGTTTTCCAGGTGTGAATCATATCAAATGAGCTCGAGTCAGCGTATCGATCTGTAAATCCATGATCACTCTTAGACAACGGCCTCTTAAATCCAGAATATCTAATCCCTGCACACAAACGAGACAGCTTCACAGTACACAGATCAGTTTCATGGTAGCGTCTACATTGGAAAGTAACCTTATTGTGAAGTACAATGTAACAGAAAACAGAAAACATTCACCGGGGACTCTTGTTTGAACCTGTATACACAGAAAGGCTCGATAAAGTACTTCCCTGTTAGCCTGGCAAGCCAGACTAAATAAATGTATTATTTAGTCTGGCCACGCTCCGTTGACGGCTCTCGGTTGTGGGGCGGGTTCTACCGTTGTCTTTCAAATGATCTCCGCATTCCACTGGACAATGAATGTGACATACTCTTGTTTCACTCTGTTGCATCATCCCACCCACCAGGCATATAGAGTGCCCTGATTGGCCCACAAAGCGGATAAAGCTCTGTGATTTGTTCACTAAGCAGATAGAGCACTATGATTGGCCCACCATTATGGACCAATCACAGCTCTTTATGTGTTTGAAACCCCTCTAGAGAGCTGTGATTGGCTAGCCAGAGTCCTGGTAGGAGCTGCTGAGGTTCCAATGGAGCATGCCTAGACCACTCTTTGCAAAGCAAGAATTTGGTCTAGTTCACTAGGCTACTTCCCTGTTGGATTTTTAGTCCCCTTGTGGAGAACTCATCCCGCCAAAACAAGCAATAAACAAACAAAGGAGGAAATAAAAATATAATAAATAAATGAGGAAACACAATTCTAAACAAATACAATTAAATAGATAATAAATGTTGAAATATAACAGTAAATAAATAAATGTGGAAAAAATACATTTGTTTATTTCCAAATATTTTTATTTATTTATTTATTTTTGATCTTATTTTCCTATACATGTTTTTTAGATTAATTACTCGTTCATGTATTTATTGCTTGTTTTGGCAGGATGAGTCTTCCAGATATGGGGAGAAAAATCCTACAGGGAAGTGATTTATCAAGCTTTTCTATAGATGCAGGCCCAAACAAGAGCCCCCATGAGTGTGTGTGTGTGTGTGTGTGTGTGTGTGTGTAGTGCTCAGCATAAATGAGTACACCCCCTTTAAAAAGTACAAATTTGATCAGGATCTCGACGAACTTTTCCAGAATTTTCACGTGGCTGGGTTTTATTGAACACTTGTTTAACTCCACAACATGAAATTAACGTTAGTAATATAACTTAGATCACAAAATCTTCAGTTTTACTAAAATTGGTTGAAACAAAGATGAACACACCCCACGATAAAACCTACTACATCTAGTATTTTCTATGACTACCGTGATTTTCAAGGACAGCACCAAGTTCAACGCCATCCAGCCGTGTCTACTGCAGTAGAAGATGAGGGGTGCAGGAGTGGATGTACATCTGGCTGCATGGACCATCAACTACCTCACCAACAAGCCACAGTATGTGAGGCTGCACAACTGTACATCTAAGGTGGTAGTGTGCAGTATTGGAGCTCCACAGGGTACAATGCTCTCATCTTTTCACCTTCTACACCTCGGACTTCCTCTATAACACCAGCCGCTGTCACCTCCAGAAGTTCTCTGATGGCTCGACTATTGTCAGTGTGTCTGAGGGGAATGACCTGGAGTGCAGGTCAGTCATCATGGACTTTGTGGACTGGTGTTATTTTTCTTCAGTTTATTCTAAGTGTTGTTGCTGCTGCAACAAGTGAATTTCCCCCACGGTGGGATCAAGTCTATTCTAAATCTTAGGCTTGGAAAGTGTGGCACACTTTAAATACTTTTGTCCAAAACACTGAATGCATCTTGAGAAAATAGCGATGCTCTGAGAAAGCTCAGAAGCCTAGGTGGCAGTCAGCAAACCCTAGAGCTTGTTTATAAAGCAACTGTTGAGAGTGTTTTGACTCTACACCTCTCAGCCTGGTTTGGTCATGCTAACTGCAGATCTAAGGCCAAACTTTTACAAACTGTCCTCCTGGGCAGACAAAAATAGTTGGCAGACCACAAAAAACAATTTCCCAATTGGCTGCTGAAAGGACGAGGAATACTGCAAGGACAGAAGTCATCCACTCTTCTGTCATCTTCAACCCTTGAGCTCTGGAAGACATTACAGGATGGCTCTGGCAACCAAAAATGTATAAGAAGTCACTTGTTCCCATGCTGCAATGACCCTTAACCAACGTAAATAATAAAATCCAACTATAGTACATGTCACACAAATGTATGTATGCATTAATGCTTTTATTGGTTTTGAGAGCCGATGGAACATTTCTACTACGGTGGACGATCAAGTTCTATTCTATTCTATTCTATTCTATTCTATTCTGCATTGCAACATCCACCTTTTCTGTTCGACAAGAACAACCTCTTTTAGAGCCTGGATGCTGGATGTTTGATTGGGTTCAGATCAGGAGACATTCAATCACCTTCACCCTGTTCTTCTTCAGAAGTGCAACAGTATCTTTAGATGTGTGTTAGGTTGGAAAAAGTGCACGACGACCAAGTGCACGGAGTAATGGCAGCAGCTTCTCCTTCAGTATAGAGCAGTACATTGTTGAGTTCATGATACCATCAATGAAATGCATCTCCCCAACACCAGCAGCACTCATGCAGCCCACATGAGGACTTTTATGTAAAGAAGTTATTTCCTTTCTCAGGTTTAGTTATATTTCTCATCCAAGTGGAGAAAATGCTGACAGCATGAAATGTAAAGGGCTTTTCTTTAAGTAATTCCCTTTTATAGTCACCCATCTGCAACCCTGGTCCTGGAGAGCCGCCGTCGTGCATGTTTTCCAGCTATGCATGAACTTGCAGCTTCTAATTAGCTGAACACACCTGATCCAGGTAATCAACAGCAGGAATAACAAAGATAGTTGGAAAACAAGCAGGACTGCGGCTCTCTAGGACCAGGGTTGCCTACCCC